TGACCTAATAGCATCTTGAAACTGAGGAGGAAAGCAGGCAATAAAACACTGCTGAAATGGCACCTTGTAGGAGTGAAGCAACAGCAGGGACGCCATGGCAGCCACCACAGTGGCTTCCTTAACTTCTGTGCAGCAAACCCCCAGAGGAAGCAGTCTCCAGTCTGCTCACCCTCATCCCAGACCTGCCAGGAGGAAGCATAAGTCCTGGTTTTCCGTATTCCCATGCTACTGGCCCCAGCCCCCCTGCCCAGCCCCCATCCTTTCCCTCTGGTAGCCACTTCACTTCAGTTTGGAGGCAGCTTCTCCTTTCTCCATGAAACTCTCACCCTGGGCTCATTGCCTTCTTCAGGGTTCATGGGAAACATTTTAGACCCGTGAACTTCAGTGCTAACCCATTTCATCTCAGGATCCTAAATCCAACGGCATCAGGACAAACTTCCCCTGACCTTTGCTCAGGGACTGCCTGCTTTGGCCCTTAGCTGGGAGAAAATTCCTGAAGGGACAGATTCCTAAAACAGGCTAGAAGCCACTCCTCCTCCCCACTTGGTTCTCCAGGCTCCTTATCCAGGTTCATGTCCAGAATCCAGTGCCTAATCCTTACACCTGCAATTTATTCCCCCCAAGAATGCAAGGGGCAACATGCACCAAATAAACATAAACCCTGGCAAAGGTGTCCTTGGAGGTGTCAGACTGAGCTGCTGCCAACTTTAGTCTTCAGGTAGAAGGAAAATGAGACAGCAAAGATGGACAACTCATTTGAAATATATTATCATTGCTTAATAAGAAGATTTTGAGGAAGGTAGAGAGATGGCTCCATTAAGAGAAAGGGTACACACTTCTCATCCAGAGAACTCAATTCAGTTCCCAGCATGCACTTCCGGAAGCTTGGAGCACCTTGAAACTCTAGCTCCAAGGGACCTCTGCTGGTATTGCTCATGAGTACAAGCCCACACACTAACTCATAAAACAAACAAACAAACAAACAAATACAAACAAGCTGGACAGTGGTGGTGCACACCTTTGATCCCAGCACTCGGGAGGCAGAGGCAAGCAGATCTGTGAGTTGGAGGCCAGCCTGGTCTACAGAGCAAGTGCCAGGACAGCCAGTGCTGTTACACAGAGAAACCCCATCTCCAAAAACCAAATATACATATACACACAAAATCTTTTTTTAAGATAATTTTTATGTCAACCAATAAAACTTTTTATTTCATTTTGTTGCTTTTGTTTGTTTTTTGTTTTGTTTGAACAAGTCTCATGTAGCATAGGCTGGCCATAAATCTACTAAGTTACAGAGACTGGCTTTGAACTCTTTAACCTCTTGCCATTACCTCCCACGTGCTAGTATTACAAGCCTGTGGTGCTATTTCTAGCTAAAAAAACCTGTCATGAAAAATCTTGTTATGAGGCCCATACTGGCCTGGAACCCATAGCATTCTTTTTGCTTCAGTCTCAGGGGTACTGAGATTACAGGCATGCACTACTGTCATCAGACTTTGTTGGGGGTCATGCCTGGCTTCTGGCTATTTTCTATACTACTCGGTGAACCCACACTTTCTTCAGTTTATACTAAGTGACTTGCTTTCTGTTCTTTCCACTTGGTCTCCCCCATGGTAGGGATATCCAGGAGAGGGAGCTTAAAGCCATCACTCACATCACAGCTGCAACCAGGAAACAGAGGTGATGAATGCATTTTACACTGTAACCTGGCCTTGAGACTACGAAAGCAAGTGGTGGAAAGTTATGACTAAAAAGGAATGTGTGTAGGCTGGCTCAGTGGCTCAGTGGGTAAAAGCATTTGTCACACAAGCCTGAAACCTGAGTTTGAATCCCAGGCTCCACAAAGAGGTGGCAGGAAAGAACCAACCCCACAAAGTTGCTCTGTGACCTCCACATGCCACCACAGTACTAAATTTAAAAAATTATAAAGATTATTAACCTTTAAAAAAGAGTGATACATTTGAATGTTTAGTTGACAAGGCTGTGATGTTTATTGGTGTTAATCATCAACTTAACAGAATATACTTTGTTGGGAGAGTAGACCTTGGGGCATCTTAATTACGTCCATTGTGGGTAGGACTGTTCCCTGGGCTGGGAATGCTACAGGACATAAAATGGAGAACGTGAGCTGAGCAGAGCCTGCGTGCATCAGCCTCCCCTTCTGACGGAGGATACAATGCCACTGACGGGCTACTTCTCATGCTCCTGCTGCCTTGATTTCCCTGTACTGACAGCTCGGTGCCTTGAACTGTGACCTAAAATAATCTTTCCTTCCTGAAGTGCTTTTCTAGGTGTCTTTTATCCCAGCTCACAATCCCCACAACAAACGCCATGCCACAGCCTTTTGATCCCTACCTTCTGCCAAAGGTGGATCTCTCCCCCACGCCCTTTCTGGCCGCTCTGTGTGTGACATGGGTTCTGCCCCCTCTGTTTGCAGCCCCCTCTGACTTCCTAGTGCTTCTCTCTCTTCTCAGTTTGTTTATTCAGAATGAATCCACCATCTTCTGCTTCCTCTCTGGCCATGTAGTAAAAGTGCTGGTCTGGGCAAGAAGACCCACAATCCCTTCTGGTCTAAGCCTGTCTTATTGCCTTGGACGCTTGTCAGTTTTTCTGTGTGCTCACCTCACTTGAAAATTGAGTAGTTTGAATTTAAGTGTTTTTAAAAAATGTGGTCCACATTTTACTCAGTATGTGTTTACATACATTTATAAATTGTGCATGTGTATATGAGTATATATTCACAATACATAAAACACGCTTTCTGACTATACTAGATTTTTGTTTGTTTTTGTTTGTTTGTTTTTGTTCTTCAAGACAGAGGTTCTCTGTGTAGCCCTTGCTGTCCTGGAACTCACTCTGTAGACCAGACTGGCCTTGAACTCAAAGATTCACCTGCTTCTGCTTCCCGAGTGCTGGGATTAAAGTCATGTACCACCACTGCGTGACTGATGTACTTTTAAAATTTACCACTAACTTGTATTTTAATTAGATATAGTCGTTCACACCTGTAAACCCCCCACCCCTGCACTCTGTGTTTAGGGGAGAGAGACTGAGGCAGAAAAAGTGTTCTGAGTGTAATGAGAGTCTTGGCTGGACAATGAGTTCTAGGGCCAACCTAGCCTCAGAGTCTGAGAGAGACTCTCAAAACAACAATAATAAACAAACAACCAAAACAGGGCTGGAAAGTTGGCTTAGTGGTTAATAGCTCTTGTTCTTGCAAAGAACCCTGGTTTGGTTCCCAGCACACGCTCTGACCATCTGTAACTCCAGTCCCAGGAGATCTGACACCCTCTACCGGCCTTCTACATGGCTCACACATACATGCAGGCAAAACACTAAGACACATAAAGCAATAAGATAAATTAACTCTTTAAAAAGACCCAATTATTATTTACTAAAAAACGTTAGATTTGAGCCAGGCAGTGGAGGTGCTCGCCTTTAATCCCAGCAGCACTGGGGAAGCAGAGGCAGGCGGATCTCTGTGAGTTTGAGGTCAGCCTGGTCTACAAGCTAGTTCCAGGACAGCTAGGGATGTTACACAAAGAAACCCTGTCTCTAAAAAACAAACAAACAAAACAAAACAAAAAAACATTAGATTTGTTGGTATGAAGGTTCCTTCTAGAATTAACATAAATTCTGCAGTATGTGCGGCCTTCCCTACCTGGAACCCTGGGCCTTAGTTCTCACTCAGAAGAATTCTTCTCCAGATCCTAATATTATTTTCATTCAACACAAGCAACATGGAATTGGAGACACAGATCCCTTCCTGTCATAACCACTTACATTCGTAGCAGGTGCAGAACCTTAATGATAACCAGTGCCTCATATCGTGCTGACCTTCCTGCTGATAACTAATTAACAACTGCAGACATGGTATTAAAATATAATTATATGTCAGCATTACGAAACAATCAAAAGCAGCAGAAACAAAAGAGGACATGACTCAAAACAAGAAAATGCAATTAGACCATGTTTGTATTTACCCAGTTTCTCCCACAGGCAATCTAGCCCTTTGACAAGTTAGAGAATAAAGTAGCCAAAGAGAGTCAGCAAGTTGCCAGCCTAAACTGAGAAGGCAGAGTTCAAGTCTCAGGCCAGGAAAGGGCTGGATATAAGGGAGGAAGTCCTGCAGGGAAGTCATCAGAGTACATCTATGGAGAAATCTCCCACAAATCCTTGCACAGACTATGCTTGTCGGTGAGGAGACTCCAAGGAAGTCATGAAAAACACCAAGTGGAGCTGATGAGCCCTGAGGCAGTCAGCAACTGAGGGGGGCTGGGAAAACACTCAATTAGAGCCCCACCAAGGAGGTTCACTCAGCATTTCCCATTTTCACAGAAACCACACACTTTAGGAGTGAAAGCAGGCCTCTTAGGTTCATGGACCACACCCTAGGGCCAAGGTCCAAAACTATTAACAGACCCATCCCAACCGCCCCAAGACAGACAGAGCAAACTTGGAAAATGATCTGGTGAGGCCATCGAAGGTGGGGCAGGGGGGAGGAGGGAGAAAGCTGTGAAAAGGCTTGGCTTCTGGCTTGGGAAGGGGCTGGGTACAGCCACAAAGCAACCGTTTCTTGGATGGATGGATGGATGGATGGATGGATGGATGATGGTGGATGGGACTGGGGAGGGGAGAAAAAGATGGGATGTTTCATTATTAAGGCTTAAGTGTTTACAATGTCCAACAGAAGCAGTAACTATAAGTCTGTGCCTCAGGGCACAATTTGTAAAGGGAAAGGGAATCCAGTTAAAAAACACACACACACACACACACACACACACACACACACACACACACAAATGGTAATGTATGAGTACTTAATTTATTCCAAACACATGAGTATTATCTTTTAAAAACCATTATATTAAGTGTGTGTGTGTGTGTGTGTGTGTGTGTGTGTGTGTGTGTGTGTGTTTTGCTTGCATGTATGTATGTATCATGTGTATGTCTGGTATCCACAAAGGCCAGAAGTGAGTGTCAGAGACTCTGGAAATGGAGTTATAGAAGGCTGTGAGCCACCATGTGAACTAAACTGAGTCCTCTACAAGAGCAGCAAGAGCTCCTAACCACTGAGCCAACCCAATGGGTAATATATTGACTTAGTCAATAGGGAATCTAAAGCTCAGAGAGGTTAAGTAATTTGCCTAAAATAACACAGTAGATACTGAAGCTGAGATTTGAACCCAAGGTACACCCACTCTAACACCTGCTTCCTTCCATAGTGCATGCTGTTGCTGGGTAACATACAGTAAAGTTCATGGCTGGTACTTAAAGACAGCTACCAGCGCAATAGGAAGCTTAGAGGATGAATTTTATGACTGGTCAAGGGGGGTATCAGGAGTATAAGAACGAATGCCCACAGCACTGAGGGGAATCCTCATGGGCCCCATACAAATAAAGAGCTGTGAAAATGCAAATGATAAGGTCGGAGTGAGCTGGTTTCAGTGAGATCACAGGGCACATTACAACACACCCTTGATGACAGTTAGGAGGCTTCCAACAATAAGGAACTGCAGTAGGAAGCAAAGTTCACCCAGGCAGAGATGTGGGGGAGGGGAGAGGAGCCACAGCCAAACACACACCAGGGATCACAATCAGACTTCTCTGAGCTGTAAGGGAATTTAGATGTCACCTAATCCCAATCATTTCAGAGAAAAAATGAATCCACCAGAAGAAAGATTAGCTGCTAAATTCCTCAGCCTCTCCGCCGAAGCTGGGTTTGATCTCCTTTTTATCTCCCTGAGTGCAGATACATGGAGCCAGCTTTGTCCAAACAGTGGCTTGGAAAATTTTTGTTACATCAAGCCTGTGCTGGAGGATCCTGGGATAAAACATGACACTTTCGGGGTTGCAACAGGAGTTTATCTCTTTGGTCTTTCATAGCTCCAGTACAAACCTGAGCAGGCAGCCTCTGTGGAAGCCCCAAGTGAGGAAGCTTCCTCCTGGAGGGAGGGTGTGAGGGGTCTTCCAGACCATCCACTCTCTCCAGTCTTCATCCTCTAGCTGCAACCTGCACACCCATCCCCCACAACTGGCCAGAACAACACAGGCGGTTTTAGCCCGAGAACACAAACTAGAAACAAGCCCATCAAAGTACTGAACACACAAAGCAAGACAGAGTCCCTGTGATCAGACTCCTGACGTTCCACCTTTGCAGATCACTGAGGGGAGCTTCGGGATGAAATGAGTTACACCTAACAGGTGCAAAGCACAGCAACAAACTGAAACCAGCTCTGGATTCCATAGGAGTCCTAGGGTTCATTATGCATGCCGGTTAGACAAGAAAAGAACAGGCTGCAATGCAAGTCAGCTCTTCTTTTCCACTCAAGTCTAGAGAAGTTTGGGGACTGAGTGAAGAATGTCACAATAGCAGTTGTGCTGTCTCCACAAGAACAAAAACATAAGCCTAAGGATGGAAAGAGGTTTGCAACAGGGTGAGGAGTGAAAGGCGGCTCCCATGAGAGGGCTGCTTGCTTGAGGGCCACAGCACATCACTTGTGGCACTACTAGTAACTTTGCTCCCCCAAAGATCCTGCCTCCAAAACAAGTGTCCTGTGCAGACACACTTAGTAAGAACTTAGGGGGCAGGGTTCTGAATATAGCACATCTGGGGATAACATGGCCATCCATGTCACCTATTTTCAAGGTGTATGTTTAACCCGCCAGAAGACTGGCTGGATTCCTACCTTGGGGTTTCTTCCGTCTCTGCACAAACTCCGAGCGTCTCAGGGTGCCGGGAGCCGTGCGGCGGAAGCAGCTATTCCTTCTCCACGTCTCTGACCCAGTTAAGGGTCTCACCTCCCCTAAGTGCCAGGTGCTTTCTAATGCAGGGTCCCCAGGGATCCCAAAGCGATGTCCTCCTTGCTCTCCCCCAGGATGCTGCTGCAGCAAACCCTCGGAGATGGCTCCTCTGCCACCAGGTGCCCTCATTCCCAGTCTGTCAATGTCATCATACTGCAAGTCCTCCCCTCGGTGTGGAGAATCGACTTGTCTGTAATCATGAGACTGAGAGTTGAGAGAGACAGTATCGTAGCTTTTATTTTCTGTATCAGAATTAACTAGATCCACGGGATATGTCTTTGCTTTGGGGTAGATTTTATTACTCCGGCAAACCTTCCTGTCTTCTTCATAGTCCCTGAGAGATTCTTCACCTTTGTTGATCCCATTCAAATCCGGAGGTTCCACAGACTCACTGTTGGTAAAAGACCCAGGAACACGACTTGAAGTGCTGCGGTCTTTATAATCTACACTAATTTCTTTACAATCCTCAAGACTATAATTAAGATTCCCCAGGCCCAGGTACCAGTTGTGAGGCTGATGCAAACTCTCCAAGTCCCCCACGTCCCTGTAGCCATTCCTGTGTTTGGCTTTTTGCAGGTCCTCATGATTATAAATCAGATCGCTACAGTCTACACAGCCTCCAGCTTCCAGGATCCCTGGCGGGCTTCCCAGAAGGAAATGATCCTCTCTCCCGGGCCTGGGATGTACATAGTCTACGTCTTCTCCATTCCTGTAACCAGCGTAGCCCTCTGGGAAGAGACCATCCTTTCCTCTTCCATTGGTTTCCCCAGAGTCCATATAGTTCTGTTCACTCTGCTCAAAGTCCCAGTACCCACAATCTCTCTTTCTGTAGGGCCGATTCCTCTGCCTGGCCCGGCACGCAGAGTCCAAGTCATTTTCTGCATGGAGCCCACCCGGCTCAGCAAGGTTTCTTTTCCGGAGGCTCCTGCAGTCTTCATACTCCCAGCTGGAGCCCCAAGGCCCTTTCTGCTCGGCTCTTCTTTCCTTCCCAAGCTCATGGGCTTCACTCATGTTCAATATGATCACAGGGTTCACTTCTCTGTTCCATGGGCCTGGGTTGGGCTGAAATTTGGCCAGGTGTGGTCTAGCCTAAGGCTGTATCTGCCCTCCTTAAAATGTCTCCCAGAGCACCGGAGTCTTCCTGTTGCTGTGGCTGGAGTGCAGGGCATGTGGAGTCATTTCAACTCCAGGATCCAATCAGTGAGCTACTCTATCTTCTCCTCAGAGGCCAGGAGATAATTAGTAACTAGAATCCATGTGATTGGTGTTGGCAGCCTTGTTGGTTGGTGTTTCCCTGAGCTGGTCAGACTGGCTTGGCTGCTTTGTGCACTGAAGGTGCAGGCATTCTGATGCCCTCAAGGAAAAAAGGCAATGTGAAAGAGAAAGAGCGCCCTTCCAAAGCCCAGGCTAGGGTCCCAGTCTGCAGACTCACTCTCAGGAAGCCATGGGGATGAAAACAAATGCTTGCACAGGCAGCAGCTACAAACTGGCCCTCTAGACCCCATCGAAAGCCAAGTTTTCTAAGCATGGGACCTCCGAAGCTCTTCTCTGAGAAGCACAGCTCCCCTGACCCTGAGTGTTTTGTTCCTGTGAGATTCCAGTGACCAGGCAGTACACACTCAAACCCCCGACACCCCGCACTCCCACCACTCAAGCTCAGGCTGCCTGCACAGCAGCCATCCTACCGAAGTTAGACTGGTTATTCATTCCCATTGCTCTCTCAGTCATGGCAATTGTGGTGTAAAATGTCTTGTCTAGAAGACAGTCATGTCCCTTTTTCTTAGATACTCTTCTCAGAAAACACCAAAACCATCCATTTTCTAAAATTATTTCCATCCAGTGTATACACTATATTTAAGAACTAGAGAATTCAGCTAGAAATCACAAAGGCTGGTGTGAAAATACCTATGGGAATTCAGCAAGCACCAGATAGACAGACAGACAGACAGACAGACAGACAGACAGACAGACGATAGATGATAGATAGATAATCAATCAATCTTATTTGTGAACATTGAGGAACAGGCAATAAACAAAGGTATACTCATATGGGACACCACAAAAGTCAAACACTATAAAATAAAAGGCACATGGCAAGTGCTACACAACAAACACAACTGGCAATGGTAACAAAGTCAGGTGTTGGGAGAGGTTTCACACAGGTCTCAACCACACCGGCCTCAATTGGATTGCTCTTCCAGCTGCCTGCTCAGTCATTAGATGTACAGGGTTTTGGGTTTTTTGTTTGTTTGTTTGTTTTCGAGATAGGGTTTCTCTGTGGCTTTGGAGGCTGTCCTGGAACTAGCTCTTGTAGACCAGGCTGGTCTAGAACTCACAGAGATCCTCCTGCCTCTGCCTCCCGAGTGCTGGGATTGAAGGCCTATGCCACCAACACCTGGCATTTTTCTGGGTTTTTCAAGACAGGGTTTCTCTGTGGCTTTGGAGATTGTCCTGGAACTAGCTCTTGTAGACCAGGCTGGTCTCAAACCACAGGGATCCACCTGCCTCTGCCTCCAGAGTGCTGGATTAAAGTCGTGCACCACCGCCCGGCCAAGCCCTAACAATTCTTGGTTCTATTTTTCCATCACAACTTCTTAGATGGGTTCTTGGAAACTGTGTGTTTCTTTCTTTGATGGTTTGCGGTTTATACTCAAGCATGCAATCATGGAGCTGTGTGTCCAATGCTCTCTTTACCTTTGCTTTAGTTGTTGCTGTTTGAGACAGGTCTCTGTGTGGCCCTGGCTGGCCTGGAACTTGCTACGCAGACCAAGCTGGCCTTGAACTCTCAGAGAGGCCTGTCTCCACCTCTTGGGATTAAAGATGGGCACCGTCACTCCTGCCTTCTCTCTGTTATTTTTATTTTGAGAAAGAGCTCCCTAAGTGGCTCTTGAACCCACTCTGTAGACTGGGCAGACTTTGAATTGTGAGCCTCCTTCTTTACCCTCTTGAGTAAACTGGGTTCAGGCCTGTGCCACCATGCTTGGATTCTGTTCACTTTGGGGATCTTCTTTACCTTGCCAAAATTTCTGATGTCCCCCTGAAATTCATCCCATGTATTCTGTTCTCAAGAATCTTTAGCAGTGACAGCCCCAACCATTCTGGCTTCTGTGCGAGCATGTGTGTGTGTGTGTGTGTGTGTGTGTGTGTGTATGTGTGTGTGTGTGTGTCTATATGTGCAAGTGTGTGCTGTGATTGGTGCTATAAATCAAGAAAAATGTTCTGTTTAATCTTCATTATCCTTCAAAGCAAGAAAGCAATTCTTGTTTTTACCACATATAAATAAGTAATTGAGTTGATTGTGATGAGGAATGCATTTAATTCCAGCACTTGGTAGGAAGATTGGGAGTTCAAGGTCATCCTGGCTAAATATCAAGTTCAAAGCCAGTATGAGCTCCAAGAGACTCTTGAGCGTTAGAATAATATCTAGGATCACATACACTGCTACGTGAACCCAGATCTGCTTGACTTCATAGCCCCAGACAAAGTGGACTACATTTGAACATAGTCACATGTAAACACGCACATTCTCCCACGTTAGCACACTACATGGTGTAACTCAGAAATAATTGTCTACAGAGGTGGACATGCACCCTCACCTATACTCCCATCCCCTCATCTCCATTCTTAATTTACTCACCCCTCCCTCACCAGAGCATCACCCCCAGGACACCAACATCCAGATCCCCTCAGGAGCATAGTTAATCTGTAAGACTGTGATCTGCTCACCAAACAAAGAGGCAAAGATATCTGGAAGGGCAGACTGATGCAAAACAACAGCAAAATCTATGGAGAACTCACGCCAGACAATGAAGCTGTTATTTAGTTTTCTTTCTTTCTTTTTGAGACAGGGTCTCACTTTGGAAACTCACAGAGATCCACCTCCCTCTGCCTCCTGAGTCCTGGGACTAAAGGTGTGCATCACTATGCCTGGCTATTTTCTTTCTTTTTTCTTAAAGATTTACTTTATTTTTAAAATCCTGTATATTCTTATGTGCCCATGTGAGAGCATGTATACATGAGTGCCAGTCCCCCAGGTTTTGAGCCTCCATTTGAGTGCTAAACACAGAACCTGGATCCTTTGCCAGGGCAATCCATGCTCTCAATGCTAAGACATTTCTTTAGCTCTGGCTGTTGTTTTCTTATGTGTGAAATGAGGAAGTTAATGGTCTCTCTGTTTTTAAGTCTAAAATTTGATGAGCTTGCTTATTTCTAATCCAATTGAAAACAAAGATTAATTTTCTGTGTTCAGGAAGGCAAATGCCTTTAATGCCAGCACCTGGGCATTTGTGACAGCTTGATCTACACTGCAAATTCCAGGCCAGCCGGGACTACAGTGAGATGAGACTCAGTCTCAAAAACAAAACAAAACAAAACAACAACAACAAAGATTAATCATCCTAGCCAAGCACTGTGCTACAAACCTATAATAATCCCAGCAAGTGGTGGAGGTGGAGGGGAGGTAATCACATTTGAGACCAACTAGGTTTAAAAAATGGGAGGGGCAGTGAGCTAGCTCAGCAGGTAAAGGCATTTGCCATCAAACCTGTCACCTGAGTTCAACCCCCACATGGTTGCAGGAGGGAGCTGACTCCCGAAAGTTGTCCTCCTACCTCTACCCACACGCTAGGGCAAAAATACAAAGGTAATTTTAAATTTTCAGAAAATGGGGAAAGGGCTGGTGAGCTGGCTCAGCTGGTAAAGGTGCTTGTGGCCAAGCCTGACAGCCTGGCTTTGATCTCCAACCCACAGGCAGAAAGAGAAAACAACTTCTGCAAGTTGTCCTTGTCCTCTGACTCTACAAGCAGACACACACACACACACACAAAGAGAGAGGGAGAGAGGGACTGGAGGGAGGGAAGGAAACTGTTTTGGAAAACAAAGTTCTCTAGCAACTGCCTATCTTTGATAAAGCAAGCATGATAAGAAAAGCACACCTGGTAAGTCGGCATAGAGAAGACATTAAAAGAGAAAACTAATTATAGGTAAGAAGACACTACTTACAAATGATCAGAGGAAGACACTGTGTGGAGCTAAGAGAACCTATTGAGGGTAAGTGGAGTGGATTATGCTGGGGTTTGAATCAGGGCTTCCCACTTCCCGCTCTACCCCTGAGTGGTCTACAGCCCCAGCCCCCTTTGTCACTTTTATTTCTGAGAGAGGGTCTTGCTAACTTAAGTAGGCTGGACTTGAACTCACTCTGTGAGCACCTAGGCCAGCTTCACATCTGTGCCACCGAGCCCAGCAATTGCACTTTTTTTCTGTTTGTTTGTTTAAATTCATGCTGCTCTTAAAGCCTTAAAGATACAGTTTACAGAAGGATGTAAAGAACCCGGGCTTTACCTGCCCTACTGCAACCAAGAAGCTTCCAGACTTCTTCTACAGGCCACTGAGAGAGAGAGAGAGAGAGAGAGAACAGAGACAGAGACAGAGAGACAGAGAGAGACAGAGAGAGAAAGAGAGACAGAGAGAGAAGGGGAGGGGAGACCAGCATGCCAGTTTTCTCAGCTGGGACTGTGGCTGATACAAGCCTGAGATGGGCACCCCTCGCCCGCTCTCCTCCCCCATCCATTTTTTTGAGATAGGGTATCAATATTCATCCTTCATCCCTGACCAGCCTTAACTGGAGCCTTGAACCCTGGGTTTTACCTCACATCACCTAATCAATACTTTAACCTCAGTGTCTTATAAATGGAGCTAACCCTGAGCCTCCTGACCTCTACCTCTTCCTGTCATAGTTTCTGTCAACTTGACACAAATCTAAACTCATGTGGGAAGAGGGAATCCCAGTTGAGGAATTGCCTCCATTGGATTGGCCTGCGGGCATGTCTGTGGGGCTTTTTCTTAACTCTTAGTTGGTACAGGTGGACCAGCCTATGGTGAGCGGTGCTATGTCTGGGCGGGTGAGGCTGGGATGTGTAAAACATCAGGTGAGAGAGCCAAGGAAAGCCCTCCATGGTTCAGTGTCTGCCTTGGCTTCCCTTGATAATGGACTGTGACCTGTAGCTAACATAAACCTACTTCCCACATTGCTTTTGGTCATGGTGTTTGTCTCAGCAACAGGAAGAGAAGCAGGACAACACTCCTCCCTCACCATCCAGCTCAGCCGGAAGCCTGTGCCATCTCAACCAAGGGCAATGCAGTCCTTGTGGTCGCTCAGATGCCCGAGCCATGCGGCCTCTTCTCACTCTTCTGCCTCTCATGCCCAGTCCACCAGCTCATCGCAGGGCTCAGGTTCAAAATATCCCAAGGCTGAGCTCTTCTCACCCCACTGCTGCCACCAGTCCAGCTTGCTGGCATTTCTTTTTTGGATCACAGCAGTGACCTCATAACTGTGTCTGTGTCTAGTGTTTAAGTCAAACCATATTGCCCTCTGTCCAAAACACAGTGGCTTCTCTTTCTCAGGATGATGAACTACCAAATCCGCCTGTACTTAAGCCAGAATGCATGTAACTGCACCTTCTAGAACATGCACTCGGCTTTCTTTTCTTCCCAGGCTCGCTTCCTTCTGAAAAGATATATGTTTACTCACTTATACAGTAAGTAAGTGACAATAAGGGCAGAAGGGCACCGCTGTCACTTCAGATATCACCTTGGATATCACAGGAACTCAGTGGTTGAAAAAATAAAAGCTTTCCTGTTTTTCAGGGCCCGTGACACTGAGTAAACGGTAAAAGACCTAGTGGAAGTGACAGCATGGCTTGGGTCTCATGCTAGCTCAAGCCTCTTTGCTATGTCCTGCAAAACCTTCAGAAACTCTGAAGTACCTGGATCTATTATAATTTCCCACCCTGTGCCTGGCCCTAAGCATGAAGCAATAAAGTTTTGCAAAGTCATCCAACTGCAAAGAACCATGACTCACAGGATCAATGGTAACTAAGTAAACAATTCTGAGGCATGAAACCATCAGCCCTGAAAGGAAAAAACTACTTACTGTTCAGAATTAACAGACTATTCAAGATTTCTGAGGCCAATGTCACATGGGTTAAGGAGACTTGCTTTGTCTCTGTGTGCTGACAAACTAGAAAAAGATTATTATTGTCTTACATTCACTCCTTGGTGTGTGGGGCGTGACACTAGCATCGAACGAAGGATCTTGTACAGCCCAAGCACACTTTCTTCCACTGAACTAACCCTTAGATAGCCACACACTTTCGTCATCTTAAAAAAAAAAAAAAAAAAGCCGGGCGTTGGTGGCGCACATCTTTAATCCCAGCACTCGGGAGGCAGAGGCAAGTGGATCTCTGTGAGTTCAAGACCAGCCTGGTCTACAAGAGCTAGTTCCAGGACAGCCTCCAAAGCCAC